TCCCAGCAACCACATAGTGGCTCGAAACCATCTATAGTGGGATTTGATGCCCTCTTCTGGCAAAAAAGGCATATATAAAGATAGAGCACTCATACATTAAATAAATAAATAAATAAATAAAATATTAAAAAATGCAGGGTATCATAAAGTTGTCCTTGAACTCAGAATGTATAGCAGAATAACCTTGACCCTCTGATCTACTTACTGCCTCTACCTCTCAAGGGTTGGGATTACAGGCTTGTACCACCATGCCCAATTTATGTAGTGTTGGGTTCGAACTTATGGTCTTGTGACAATCACTCTACCAACCGAACTACATCTCCAGCCCTTGCTTTATGAAAGGATCACACTATCCTAGACTGACTTTAAACTCATGGAGATTCTACTGCCTCAGGCTCCCAAGTCTTAGGATTATAGGCATGAGTCACCATGCCAAGCTTAAAATGAATCTTGCTTAAAATGGTTGAGGATGGAGAACGGGTAATACAGAGTCAGAAAATACTGGAGACTCAGAAAATGGTGAGAGGTCCTTGAAAGGTGGTTTTTCTTCCCTAACATTACCATACTTCTCCAGCAGAAATTGAAATGTGAGGGTCTCAGCACCCTCTATTCCCAAACACCATCTTCAGATGGATCTGTCAATGGAAAAGAATGGGCCAGGTGCAGCTGATCCTTGCTCACAATGACCACAGAATAATGGTGGAATTAGCCTTTCTGTGCAATTTGTCAAAGCCTCTGCGGTCCAGTGGACTATGGGAGGCTGCTTGGCCTCCCTCCCATGCTCATTGTGAATCTGGTTCCTGGAGCTGAGCCACAATAACTTCTGCCACCTGCCACTTTGCATTTCCACTACCCCTGGGGACTGTGGGTGCTGCTGCTCTTTCACAGTCTCCTGTGGAATCTAGCTAATGAAGTTCTGGAGTGACCTTCCTGGAGCCGCTGGACCTCTCCACAACTGACTGCCCATCAGATTCCTTCAGACTCCAGCTGCTGTGGGCTCTGCACTGGGGCCTTTTCACAACCTGCTCACCACCCTGGACCTTTGCACCCAGGAGCACTGGGGAAGCCGGAGACAGTTTGACCTTTGCCACAACCAACTGCCTGAATTGGGCAGTGGCAGGTTCAGGCCTCTTCTACCCATACTGATTCATGGAACTAATTGCAGTAGGAACTATCCTGACCATCACTTCAGGCCTGAAAGCCCTCTTCTCTGGCTGGCAGCAACAACACACTGGAAGCCAAGGCCTTTGTGGCCTCATGGCCAATAGTTTTGTCTCGTGTGGTTAGCTGGTTACACCTTGGATATACACGTGTCTTCTACTGGCCAGCTATTATCATCTTCAGTGGGCATTTGGGAAACAGAGTCACTTGAGGTGGCTGGTCCAGGCAACTTAACATGCACTGGACCTAGATGGTTCTTGAGGGCATGCTGAGCAGTGTGGAGGCATGGCTCTGCCTGACTAAAACAGCTACTGTGTTGGGCATCACAGGCACCATACTGTCCTCTGTGACTATGGCTGTCATCACAGATTCAAGTTTTCTGGGGTACTTAGTGGAACCAGGGAAGAGTTGAGGAGTCCCTGGTGAGTTGAGTGGAGCTGTGGAAGTTCAAGGGAGAGGTGGAAGAGAGAAAAAAAAAAGTTCCTCAGATGTCTGTGAGGCTCAACTGTCTGTCAGGACAGGGCTAGGAGGAGTGGGCTGATGCTGAGCTCATCATTACACAGGTTGTTCGGTGACCTAGCACTATGCTAACACCGGCTCCAACCCTAGAGACTAGACGTTAGTCTATAGAGGAGGAAGGCAGAGTGGAATGTGTATTAAAGAAAGCTTCCTGAATATCAGGCTTTCCCCTCACACTTGGGGATAGCCTCGGCTGAAGGGGGATGTCTTAGTTGTTTTTTTTTTTTTTTTAAGATTTTTTTATGTATTATGTTTACAACATTCTGCCTCCATGTATGCCTGCATGACAGAAGAGGGCACAAGATCTCAGAAAGTTGTGAGCCACCATGTGGTTGCTGGGAATTGAACTCAGGACCTCTGGAAGAGCAGTTAGTGTTCTTAGCCTCTGAGACATCTTTTCAGGCCTTGTCTTAGGGTTTTATTGCTGTGAAGAGACACCATGATCACAACAACTCTTCTTTCTTTCTTTCTTTCTTTCTTTCTTTCTTTCTTTCTTTCTTATGTAGGGTTCAGTATGCATGTATCCCTGCAGGCCAGAAGAGGGCATCAGATCTCATTACAGATAGTAGTGAGCCATCATGTGGGTGCTGGGAATTGAACTTAGAACCTCCGGAAGGGCAGCCAATGCTCTTAACCTCTGAGCAATCTCTCCAGCCCTGACTATGGTAACTTTTATAAAGGAAATCGTTTAGTTGGGACTGGCTTACAGTTCAGAGGTTTACTTCATTATTGTCATGGTGGGACATGGTGGCATGAAGGCAGACATGGTGCTGGAGAAGGAGCTGAGAGTTCCACATCTGGATCATCAGGCAGCCGAAATTAAAGTGACACTGAGACTTGCTTGAGCATCTGAAACCTTAAAGCCCACTCCTGCAGCGACATACTTCCCCCAACAAGGCCACACCTCCATTCCCTATAGACCAAGCATTCAAACAGTCTATGGTGGCCATCCCCATTCAGATTACACATGGAGTCTGTTGAAGTTGATTGCTGGGGTTATGATGGAAGAGTGGGTCACTGCCTGTGGAAATAGGGCCAGTGGGCTTCTGGAATTATTCTATGGACATAAATAGTCCCACGTCTGCCAGGATTGGTCAAGTGAATGCCTTTAACCCCAGAATTTGGGACAGAGAGGTAGGTGGATTTCTATGAGTTCAAAGTCAGTTTGGTCTATATAGTGAGTTCCAGGCAAGCCAAGATTACATAGTGAGACCCTGTCTCAAAAAAAAAAAAAATCCAGCTGGGCAGTGGTGGTGTACACCTTTAATTCTAGTGCTCTGGGTAACAGAGTCAGGTGAATCCCTGAATTTGAGGCTGGTCTGATCTACAGAGCAAATTACAGGACAGTCAGGACTACACAGGACTATCTTGAAAAACCAACCAACCAAACAAAAAAGGACTGGAGAGATGGCTCAGCAGTTAAGATCACTGGCTACTCTTCCAGAGGTCCTGAGTCCAATTCCCAGCGACCACATGGTGGCTCAAAGCTATATATAATAGGATCTGGTGCCCTCTTGGGCCTGCAGACATACATGCAGACAGAACACTGTATACACAATAAATAAACATATAAACATATATCGAGTCATACAAGTATACATATCCTTATTCTTTCTGATTTACCTAGTCTTTGCATAATAAAAAGAAGAAATGTAGCCAAGTGGTGGTGGTTAACACCTTTCATCCCAGTACTTGAGAGGCAGAGGCAGAGGCAGAGGCAGGTGGATTTCTGTGAGTTCAAGGCCAGCCTGGTCTATAAAGTGAGTTCCAGGACAGATAGGACTGTTACACGGAAAAACTCTGTCTCAAAAAGGCAACAAGTAAATGATTAAACAAAGAAGAAAAGAAACATGAGATGGCCATGGTGACTTTAATTCTAGCACCCAGGAGGCAGAGGATGGTAGATGTCTGTGAGCTGGAAGCCAGCCTTGTCTTCATAGCAAGTTATGGGCCAGCCAGGCTACATAGTAAAATCCTGTCTTAAAAGACAAAGGAAGAAAAGAAAAAAGTGAAAAGGCTTTATTGTCCACCTTCCACTCACCAGGTAGTTGGAAGATTTTTATCCTCATTGTTAGAAATGTTGTTTGGACATGAATTCTTTCCAGGGAATTGAAATCCGATCCAAAATAAATGACCCATTGGCACTGGAGTGCTTACAGGGTTTTAACTTCAATATTAGAGGGTGAATTAATCTGTTAGAGGGTGTGTGGTATGTGTGCCTCAAAATACAGATGGGGAAGTTTTGTGGTGGTAACTACATACTGCCCAGAACTTTTGCTCCTTTCATTGATATTTGCTGAACACTGATTGTGAACTACAGGACATAGTGACAACACCACATGTTCATTTATCTGTTTGTGTAGCAAGTATTTCCTGAATGTATGTTTAACTCTGAGACTATAAATAGAAACTACATGCTTATAGTTGTTGCACTCCTGAAATTCACAATCTTGTGTGTGTGTTGTGTGTTTTATTCATAAGAGAGTTGCAAATGCACAATTGCCTCTGCTACCATGATTAAAAGGGAAAGTAGCTGCCGGGCATGGTGAAGCGTGTTCACAATCTCTGTACCTTTGAGGTGCAGACAGGAGGATAACAAATTGGAGGATATCCTGATCTATATAGGAAATCATGTGAACAATAAAATCAGCCCTCAAACCCCTCCCGAAAAATGTTTAGCGAGTATGTAACAATAGGAGAGGTGGAGACCACTGGAAGGGCGCTGAAGTCAAGCTGATGGTTGTTTGGGGTAGAGTGGGAATATTGCAGTTGGAAAAAATGGACTGAGTATGATGTCATAAATGTGTAGGCCTCCCTCTTGTCTCAGGAAACAAAGACATCAAGACCAGACAAGTGACTTAGAGCCAAGAGGACTCCAAAACCAAAGACGTCTCTCTGGGGCCTATGTGGATACATTACACCCTTTTATTGGACCCTTCTTATGTGCTAGGACCACCTTTGTTCAATTTCGGTTTTCCAGCAATGGTGAGGTAGAAGAATGTCATTATCCCCATTTCACAGATGAGTCTCAGTTTAGATGACGCAGCATTGTTTTTCAGGTTAGAGTCCACGTCTGGTTACATTTAGAGTTGTTTGCTTCCATACGTCAAGCTGCGATCCAAAATTTTTGGTGATCCAACCTTGTGTTCCTTGCTAATATCCCACTTTGAAAGTACAAAGAGGAACTCTGAGCTCTCTCTACAGGCAGAGTTCGGAAAGGCTGAACGCCCTCTTTTAGAACACATTTTCCTCCCGGAACTAGAGAGCAAAAGCTTTGTTTCCCGACGAAGAGAAAACAGTAAGGGACCGGAAGTTGCTCGTATTATCCTCCGTGCTGGTCTCTCAGACCCGGGTGAGGCCATAGCGGACTGCCCTTTCCCAAGATGTCTTCGAAGATTGGTTCGAGACGCTGGATGCTGCAGCTCATCATGCAGCTGGGTTCGGTGCTGCTCACGCGCTGCCCCTTTTGGGGTTGCTTCAGCCAGCTCATGTTGTACGCTGAAAGGGCCGAGGCGCGTCGGTGAGCGCGCCCACGAAGCCGTCGAATGCGGTGGGGGGCGGTACGGCCTGTCCCAGGAACTGGGGTGCGGTGATGTTGGGGGAAGTTGGGGCCCAGAAGTTGGGACATTTGGACTGGGTGGGATTGGTACTCAGACAGGTTGGGAAATGTTCTGGTCCCACTATACGACCAGAGCTGATGCGGTGGCCCCAGCAGTGAGAGGGGCCTCCAGTTTCTGGAGATCAGTGGAGCTCGCGGGAGCTTAGACACTTTACCGTTCATTCTGTCCTCATTGCTCCCTACATTCGATTCACAGGAAGCCCGACATCCCAGTGCCTTACCTGTATTTCGACATGGCAGCAGCTGTGTTGTGTGCTAGCTTCATGTCCTTCGGAGTGAAACGGCGCTGGTTTGCGTTGGGCGCCGCGCTCCAGCTAGCCATTAGCACCTACGCCGCTTACATCGGAGGCTACGTCCATTACGGGGACTGGCTAAAGGTGAGCACATAAACTCTAGAAGACATTTCGATATGGGGAAGGAGCTGTAGAGTCCTGGTGGGCACGTGTGGTGCCTCCCTAATGTGAAGCCTGGGAAGACGGAGGCACTAGGTTTTTAGCAGTTTTGTAGCGGTTATTACCGAGCACAGAAGTGGCAGATCCATAGAGACCACACAGACCTTCCTCCTATAATGGAGGTCCTGAGGTAAGAAATGGACTTTCTCCAAATTCATGCCACAATGAATTACAGTACCTGTAACTCAGAGTTACCTGATTCCCAAATTTTTTAAACCACCCCTTTATTAACCCCACACTCATAAAGCAAGAGACCTTGGAAAAGTGTATGATATTATTAGTGCAGAATTTGTGTTTGCAAATGCAGAAGCAGTATTGGCCACTGCAAACCTGAAGGTAAGGTGGTACGGAGGCACCGCCTTCAAGGACTGGACTGTTAGTCCAGTAGGGGAGGCAGATGTGTGAACACCTATGGGAAAGTGGGTCTATTTTGGTTTTTTGTTTGTCTGTTTCCAAGACAGGGTTTCTCTGTGTAGCCCTGGCTGTTCAGGAACTCAAGGAGCAGACCACCCGGGTCTCAAACTCACCCCCAGAGATCTGCCTGCCTCTGTCTCCTAAGTGCTGGGATTAAAGGTGTTGAGCCACCACTGCCCGGCTATTCTTGCTTTAGTTGATACAGAGTCTGTACTACATAGAGGCAAGAACCCAGGGGTGGAGACTAGGGGTGGAGGAGGTGGCCACACGGGCATCTGGGTTCTGTCACTTTCTGTAGGACCATGGCCAGTTTTCTTATCCCCTCTCAGCTCTCATTTTCTGCCTTGTAAAGAGAGTTTCTCTCTCCAAGTCCACCACACTTGGAATAGGTAAGAGGGCTCATCGGATAGAACGGGATGTGTAGAAGGGATCCATTCTGTGTTCTTGACAACCAAGAGAAATTTAACGATCACAGTTCTTGACTGGGGCTCCATTTTCCCCTGGCCTTAGGTCCGAATGTACTCGCGCACAGTTGCCATCATTGGTGGCTTTCTGGTGCTGGCCAGTGGGGCCGGGGAGCTATACCGTCGGAAACCCCGAAGCCGTTCTCTGCAGTCCACTGGCCAGGTGTTCCTGGGCATCTACCTCATTTGTGTGGTAGGTTGGGGTTCTATTAATTGGAGGCACTTGTGTGGGAGTGAAATGTGAGCTTAAGCCTGGCAGAATCCTTATCTGTTGAGTAGAACAAGACCTTGCAGGTAATTTCTGGTGGCTCCTGAGTTCTTGAGGGCTCTCCAAATGCCTGGCTGAGGGTCCGTCCTTCCAACATTATTGCCACCAGCTAGATAATGAGTTGAATTGACCATTCAATCCTAATTCTGAGAGTCCAGCAAATAAGATGTGATTTTCTCATTGCTTCAGCTTCCAAAGGATGAGAGAGGGACAACTCAGCCCTGGTTGTAACTCTACCACCTAGAGCTGATGGGGGCCACGTAGGATAGTCAGGTTGCCCTTCCTGGAGTTTGGGAAGGTCAGTGTAGTTAAGGACACAGATGGGCTTCAAGCACGAGACCTCATCATAGGAACCAGAAATCATATCCCATGTGCAGAGCTGCCTGTGGCTTTCCATGGTGTGTATATTCAAAAGTGGGAGTCTCCATCTGACTGTGGAGACATACTTCTTCTTTCAGAAGCTCCCAGGGGAGCAGAGACCAGTCTCCCGGGGCCCTATAAACAGAGCGGGAGACAGTCCATACTTTCAGAGGGTCCGTATCCTGAGAGGGGACTTGGAGGCTCACTTTACAGGGGCTGATTTGTGGGCACCACCTCAGGGAGGCCCTCATCTGCTGGAGTCTCAAAAAGGTGCTGTGTCTCTAGGCCTACTCGCTGCAGCACAGCAAGGAAGACCGGCTGGCATACCTGAACCATCTTCCAGGAGGGGAGCTGATGGTCCAGATGTTCTTCGTGCTTTACGGGGTCCTGGCCCTGGCCTTCCTCTCAGGTTACTACGTGACCCTGGCTGCCCAGATCCTGGCTGTGTTGTTGCCCCCGGTCATGCTGCTCATTGATGGCAATGTCTCCTATTGGCACAACACTCGACGTGTCGAGTTCTGGAACCAGATGAAGTTACTTGGCGAGAGTGTGGGCATCTTTGGAGCTGCTGTCATCTTGGCTACTGATGGCTGAGTTCTGCAGGGAGAGGCTGATTTGGGCACAGGGGGCCACTGAGGGCCACCTTACCTTCCTCCTTGCTGGCCCAGTTGCTGTTTATTTATGCTTCTTGATTTGTTTGTTTACCTTTTTTTTTTTTTTTAAATAGTTAAGGTTTGTTCCCCAAGTTTGTGGCTCAGATCTTGGGAAGATGGAAGCCCTCGTGCTGTAACCCTCGTAGGGTTGTTGTCTTCTTACTGTTTTAGGGGAGGGCTGAGGCCAGCTGCCTCTCCCCCATGTGTCCAGGGAGGGCGGAGTCCCTGCGAAAGGAGTAAGGCAGAGGTGGGGTGCAGGTATTAGGAGTGGGGGACAGAGGAAGATCTGGAAATAGCAAATGTGAAAATTCCTTTTGGAACCTGGCAGATGCAGCTAAACAGTGCTTTTCAGACTAGGTGTGTGTATGTACTCACACAGGTAGGGGGAGCCCTGTAAGGAGGGGCAGAGTGACTGGTGCTACAGAAGTCACATGGGCTCTTTGGGGGTCTGCTGGGACACAAACAGTCCCAGCTCTCTGACCCCACTGTAGAGTTGAGAGCTGGCCCTGGTGTGCTCTGGGATGTGCAGGGTGGAACAGACCTGCCGGGATGCCTGCCACTGCATCAGTTCTCAGCTCCTTGTTTGGCTGGATAGGTGGAGCACCCTCCTAAACACCAGACCACACAGTTCTCCAAAAATAAACATTTTATACATTTTGCCTTTGCTTCTGTCTTCCCCATGGGGCACTTTGCCATTGGCTGGGATTGATTTGGAGTTTCTTGAAAGATCATCTAGGGTTAACACCATTGTGGACCTCCTAAGACTCCCCCTGTTCTGAGAGTTCCCATAGTTCTTCAACTGTTTTTTATAAAAAAAAAACAAACAAAAAACAAAACAAAACAACAAAAAAACGCTTGTTCTGAGTTGTGCACACCTTTAATCCCAGCACTTGGGAGGAGAGGCAGAGGCAGGCAGATCTCTGTGAGTTTGAGTCCAGCCTGGTCCTGAGTGAATTCCAAGACAGCCAAGGGATACATAGAGAGCCTCTGTCTTTTTGTTGTTTGAAAAAGGGTTTCTGTAACAGCCCTGGCTTTTCTGGAACTCACTCTGTAGAATAGACTGGCCTTAAACTCAGAGGTCACCTGCCTTTGCCTCCTAAGTGCCAGGATTAAAGGTGAGTGCCACCACATCCAGCATTAATTTTGTTTTTGAGACAGCATTTCATTATGTAACCTAGCCTGGTCTCAAGCTCCTGATCCTCCTGTCTCTACTTCCTGGATGCTGAGGTTACAGGCATATTTCTATGTCCAGCTTTGTTTAGGCTTTAGATTTCCCCTCCAGCCCTTTTATAGCCTGTCTTTCCCTCTTTGCCTTTGGGGCAGCTCTTTTGAAGACATCTTTGGCTAGGGTAGCTAGAAAGAACTAATGTCATATTACACATGAGGAAATGGGAGATTCAGAGAAAGTAAGCAGCTTGCCTCAAATCACAGAGCAAATCCAGTTGGAGCTAGATGGCTGGCTGGTCAGGTCTGTGGAATGTGCAAACCCAGATGTATCCTTGGTATACATAATCCCTAGAGGAAGGTAGGCTAGCCACCCTTGGGCCTGCCATGGTTCCTGATGTGCCATGGTGGTCTTATAAAGACACCTGGTGTATCAAAAATTGTTCAGAAGGTGTTGAACGAGGGCTGGAGAGGTTGCTCAGCTGGGAACCTGGGTTCAGTTCCCATCCAGTAGGAATAAATCTGGTATGGAGGCACATCCCCATGATCTCAGCACTTCAGAACGTGAAGACAGGAAGATGAGTTCAAGGTCATCAGCTACATAGTGAATTTCAAGCCAGCATGGGCTACCCTGCCACAAGAAATGGGGTGTGTTTGTGTGTGGGTGGGCTGGAGCGATGACAGTGGTTAAGAGTGCCTGTTCAGTCATGAGGACCTGAGTTCAGATCCCAATACTTATGTCAGGTGACTCATAAATGCCTGTAATTCCAGCTCCAAGAGATCCACTGCTTTGGTGGATCCCTTCATAGGTGCGTGCACAAACACACAGACATAAAGAAAATATTTCCTAATATGCATGGGTATTTTGCCTGCACATTGGTATAGGGTACTGGAGCCACCACATTGGTGCTGGGAATAAAATCTGGATCCTATAGAAGAGTACCCTGTGCTCTTAACCACTGGCACATTTCTCCAGCTCCCATAATAAATCTTAAGAAAATGTTTAGGCCTCAGTGACAGAGCACTGGCTGCCCCTTCAAAGATTCAGTTTGATTTCCAGCACCCATGTCAAGTGGCTTACAGCCATCTGTGACTTCAGCTCCAGGGGATCTTACGTCCTATGTCCTCTTTGCCTCTGTGGGTACCTGCATGAAACACACACTCACACTCATACAGAGAGATCATTTGAAAAAAAAAATCTCCAAAAATCATTGAATGAAAAACCTCTGGGCCCTGGCTTGTTCCCCAGCTAAGATGTATTGGTTTTATAAAGATGACAGATGGTCTGTAGGGGGACAGGGAGAATGTCTAAGTCTGGGCTTTTAAGCCAAGGCCATCCTGTGATTTCTCTGGGTTCTTAAAGGTAAATATGCTGTTGCTGTTAGCAGCTGTGTGATCTGTGGAGAATGTTTCCTGACCTAAGAGTGGAAGTACACCTCTAAGGGCTGCTGATTGCTAAGTGGGGAGACAGTGGGAGTGTTTACCCTCAGTACCTTCCATCTCTGCAGGTATCTTTTGGCCCCTGGCCTTCAAGCACTTGCTTCCAGAGGGTCACTATCTTTTAAAAAGAAATCTTAAAACATCCACTGGGGCTATAGCTTAGTAGTAGAGCACTTGCCTAGACTGTCCCAGGTCCTAGGTGACATCCCCACTATCAAAAAAAGATCACATATCCTGAAACCCTTCCTGTAGTTTAAGCTGTCTTGGTATGTTTTTGAGACAAGTGTGACTGACTCAGACAAGCATTTTCATTTTAATCAAGGCCTCCTGAAGAACTGCAAGACACAAGGGAAGTAAAATGAGTGGTAGAGCAGGTGAGCTTAGATGCTGTGTAAAATGAAGGAGCCTCAAGACAACACAGGCCAAGGAAACTGGCCTGCCCTTAAAGTTGGTTACCTTAAGTAGAGCCCTGGAAGGCAATCCCAGCCCCATTGCCGAGGCGGAACATCAAAGGCCATCTGACTGTGGCTTTGGAACAGGGTCTTTGTCTGGCTTCACTCTTTCTGTGTCTCTAGTGCCTCAGCAGGCACGGTGCAGCTTCCTCCCCTCTGCTGCCCAGGGTCATCCCCAGCAGGCATGGCTTTTGGTCTACCTCGGCCATCCCAGGATTTACAGGGCCTATGATGGTGGGTCAGCTGCCCGGGTCAGAAGCTGGCTTGCAGAAAGAGTCCGGAAGCCCCTTGGCATGGTTGACTAGTTCATAGGAATCCCGGATGTCGGCCAGACCAAACCAGAAGAAGATCCACTGCTTGTTGGAGAAGCTGCCATCGCTATGCTTGAAGTACCTGGTTGTGGAGGCAAAAGGGCCAGCTCTTAGGACAAGGGATTGCTCAGTGCTTACTCTGTTTTCAGGATATTTATCTACTACATGACACCCCACTAGGACCAGATGCCTGTTATTTTTATCCTAAGAACAGCAGCCAGAGACAGAGAATCTCAGGAAGCCTATATAACTTGCCAGGATCTCACAGCTAGGAAGGTGAGAAGGGCAGCGGAGTAGGGGGTGCACGGATGCTATATCCCCACCTCGCCCTACTACCTTGTGTAGCAAAGGAGCTGGTACTTTGTTACTTTCTAGTGGCGGGTAGAGCAGCGGGGGCTGAGGATGTGGTTGCTGAATGAAAGAGGAAGTTCCTCAGAGCCTGGAGTCAGGAGCTTGGCAACTGAGCCTGAGGAGAGCTACAAGGGTCAGGATTGATGATAATCCTAGTTAAATGCCACTTGCTTCAAAGAAAGCAGAGATGTGGGACTGAAGAATGTCATTAGGTGACCTTGACCTGAGAGACTTTTCCCTGAAGAAGGGAAGCAAGTGAAAGGAGGGAATGAATGCCCAGCTGCCCTGCTGGTGGAGCCTGGGGCATGGCTGGCTGGGGCTTCTGGAGGAGGAGGGCAAGGCCTACCAGGGATTGATGGGGTTGGTGACCCTTGAGCGCCAGAACAACGTTTGCAGGTCCCTCCGAAGGCACTCCCACAGCATCTGGCCGGAACCTTGGCCCTGGCGGCTGGAGCTCACCACGAATTTGTCCAGATATGGGGTACCCCCTAGTACAGGCTCCACAGTCAGAATGGCTGCCGCGTTGTACCTGGCGCAGCAGGAGAGAGGCAGGCTGGGACTTCTTGGCCTGAAACTGCCCTGCTCAGGACCTTGGGCTCTGCCCTCTGGGGCCCAGAGGCTCACCCCTCAGAGACATAGATTGAGTGCAAACGAGGGCGCAGTGACTCCAGATAGTCGTCCCGGAGCTTCCTGCCAAAGCTGGTGTTGACTAGGTTCACTAGGCGGCCCTGGTCAAGGCTGTCCAGGCTGCTCACTCGAAGCATCCGCTCAGCGTTCTTAAACAGGGTGCCACAGCCTGGAGAGATTGGACAGTTGGGCCAGAGCCAGGTGTACAGTTAGATTTGCTTTCCACCCATCTACCCTCTTCTTGAGTTCCTTCCTCTAGTCCCCACTGTCTGGGTTCTCTCACCCCCTCTCAGGCTTCCAGAGCATCAGGAAGCCATTGGTGCAGCCTCTCCCTACAGCTTCCAGCCTGGCTCGGAAAGCAGCCACTCCTGCTGGCCCGCACCCAGGCCTCTCACCCTTGGGACCCAGCCCGGCCCATCTTCTTGCAGCCCTCACCCTTGTTACTAAAGAGCTCGGTGAGCAGTGTGCTGGCGGAGGTGATGACAGCAGAGGAGTAGTGTGGCAGGCGGCTGAGCACGTCCACGATGAGCCGGATCTGCTGCCGTTCTTTGATGCTCAGCCATTCGGCGTTGGTAACAAGGTCAAGGTCAGCGGGCAGGTTCACGTTGCTGAGGATCTAAGTCCCGGGGAGAATACTGAGCCTCCAGCCTCCAGCAGATACACACCCATACCAACCTAGGCCCTGCCCTGAGGACCTCTCTTTGACCACTTAACCTTTACTTCCTCCCAAAGTCCTCTACCTGGAAAGGCTCAGATCTGGCCACCAAGGACCAACCCCCCTCTCTGGTCTTCTATTAGCCCTTACTGCTCTATTGTGGCCTGTGGCCTGCGGTGGAGTCATGCTGAGGACTCAGGACAGGGGGCTGACTCAGTCTTGCTAGTGTCATGAGGTGGCATGGGAGAGGGGCACACCTTCTGCCTGGTGTCTCGCAGGCCTCCTGAATCATTGAGGAAGATGATTTTGGTGGGCTGCAAGGCTTTGGCCAGAGACGCGGTCACCTCCAGCGAGTCAAGAAGCACCGAACGGCGCACAGCCGTCTCCCCAATGGGACACAGGATTGGAATGCTGTTGGACTCCAGGCACCACTGCAACAGGTCTGTCTCCACCGAGACGATGCCACCATAGCTGTGGGCCAGATGTGATGCTCAAGAGGGACCAAGGGCAGAGCCAGCAGAGTGGCCCACTCGGAGGATGCCAAGGTGGGCTGGGCCGACACTAACCTGGCATGGGGGGCCGGCTCCGCAGCGCTCAGCACTGATCCGCCGCCAAAAAAGGGAACAGCAGTAGCTGCATTATGCCGAAGCTCATCCAC